GCACATTGTTAACCCCACTTCATTGAAAATGCTAATCGCACTCATTACACGAAATATGCATGTAATAATAGCTAAATCAGCAACAACCAGACAACGAGCGATGAGACGGAGACGGGGATAGCGGGCAGAAAGGGACGGGAATAGCGCATGGAAAGAGACAGCTGCTGCTGCTTCTGCTGCTGAGCATGCGAATGAGTATCCTAGATGATAATAATGATGATGTTGATGTTGATGGGAATCAAATTGTTGCCTTAGCCTTTGTTATGCCTCTTCAGGCTTTTGACGAATACAATATAATAAAAGCCAGAAATATTACGAAAATGCAGGTCGAACAATTTTCGGGGGCTGCATTCGAATGACATGAAATACATAGTTTCAGTGTCGCTAGAATTTAAATTTAATATTTTATTTTCATGTTCAATAGCAATTTAAGAAATTCTTAAAGCTGTTTAAATTAAAGTTGCGTAATATATAACTGATTTTACGCTCTTAGGTAATAATAATATGGTTTAAAAGGGCTTAAGTTAAAGTTAAAGATAAGTTAAACACTAACAAAAATTTAAATTTAACTAACAAATAATTTTATTATTGGTTATATATTTGGTAATCCAAAATATTTAAAATATAATAAAGTAACGTGATAAGTTTCACTGATTTCTAATCGACTTCTTCTCTGTGGTTCCATAACTTAGTCAGACTGCATAATTTAGTTATAACGCCCATTATCCTCGCACGCTGGTCTGCATGATTAGGGGTTAAGGGTCAGGGGTCAGGGGCTCGAGCGCACCCCATTCTCATTTCTCTCTATCTCCCTTTTTTTTTTTTTTTTTTTGGTTTTTTTATTCTGCCCCTAGCCCTTTGCAGACTTGACATGCCGGCAGCGCCGCCTAATGAGCGCCCATAATGAGCGACAAATGTGGTGTGGGTGGTTGAGAGATAGGGAGGGGTTTTCAGTGGGTGGTGGGTTGTTATTTGGGGGCCAGAGGCCGTGGCAGTGGCAACTATAGCATGATGACGGGGCAAATTGGGCGGACAGACAAACGGAAGTTGACGGCGAAAAATCGAATTTCTCTCGCGCTTTTTGACTTAAGTCCCCTCATTTACCCTCGCTAGGGGTATTATATATTTAATCACTTTGGAAGATTTAAAAGATTGCAAGATGGTCAAATTATGGACTTATGAGAATTAGGAATTTCAAACGCAATTTGATAAAAGTTATGTAATAATAAAACTTACAAAAAATTAGAAGAAGATTAAAAGCAATTTGAAATGATTAAATTGAGCATATGTAATAACCTAGGAACCCATTTATTTGTATTTACATACCAACGAACACAAATCCATTTAAAATAATAGATTTAACCAATATTTTTATACAATTGTCAATATAAAAAAAATTTTGACAAATGCAGACACAATAAAAAGCATTATTTGATAAGAAACCCTTTTAAATTGCCATACGTGTTCCAAACCCTTTTTTTATTTAGTAAAAGTATATGGACGTTGGAAAGATATTATGCAAAATAGGAAGCCAACAAATTTGTTACCTGGAATTAAGCCATTTGCTGTAGGTAAATATAATTATTTTTAAGTCCAGTATACACACAGTTTCGATGTACAATAATGCAGTGCCTTTCGCTCTTGTCGTGCTGTCGCTTCTCTTTGGTTTTTGTTTTGTTTTTGTACATTTCGCCATGCATTTAATATGAAAAGACAACAGGCGAGGACAGGCAGGCCGGTCCTGCCAGCCAGGACGAAGGCTGGAAAGACAGGGGAGAGGGTGCAGAGAAGGAAGGACGAGGGCAGGACGACGGCGTTGCCTTGCCCTGTCAAACCATCAAGGCGCTGGCAAGGACAATGGGAAAAGTCTTAAACGCTGTCAACGTTGGCTTTTTCAAGCTTCAAGTGGCAGGACGAAAAGATTGCGAGTGCGAGTGCGACCGAATGATGCCCCTGGCACATTTTTTGGGAGACAAGCCACCCTTCACCGCCTCTCTCTATCCCTCCTGCATACTCAGTCGCCAGCGTGCGGCTGTTTAAATTGACACTTGGCATCTTTTGTTGCATCAAAAACGTGTCGTCCTCGAGCCAGCCATCCTGCCATGTCCTGCCACCTGGTTACCTGGTGCTGCCTCAGTCGCATTCACTGCAGACGACCCTTAACCCTCTAATTAGGATTCACTCGATTCATTACCTCAAATTAGTATGCAAATTTCGACAAAGATTTACTCAAGAGCTTACTAAAATCCAGCGAAGTGGTCTGAAAGTCAAATAATCTTATTTGGGAAAGTATATTCAGTTAAGACATTTTCCGAAAACCTTGCAGTCAATCCTAATTCTGAATTTTAAATAAAAAGTTCCGATTTCTCGACTAAAAATTTTGTATTTTGGTCCTAAGTGTCCAATAACTCGTATTCAAATTGCAAATTGATTGACATTAAAACCTAGACATTTTAATTTTTAGCCCATTTTGAAAAATAATGATTGTCAGCAAGCGATGGGAATTTTAGGATTGGTTAATAGCTGCACCAAATAAAAAGTTCCTTTTTTAAGTCAAAAATCTTGTTTGGAAATACAAAATGCAGATTATTTGAAGAAAAAAAATCGTTGTTTGGCCAATTTTAAAAACTTAAAGAGAAATTTAATAAGTATATATGTGGCAAAAATCAGACGAGGTGATAATTTGAGCAAACATTATTCTCTCATCAAACAAGGGTCAAATTATAAACACGATTTCTGGAAAATTACAGATTTTTCACTTGGGTGTTAAGAGGGTTAAATATTTGACGCAGTCAGGTGAGCAGACTGGTGGGGGGAGGGGCGTGTGGAGCAAGGGCATGGGGGAAGGAGGTGGGAAGGTCATGCACACTCTTATGACATTTTCTTAAATTACTTCCGAAAACCTTTTCACGCCCCCGCTGAATTGCTCATTCATGCCACTCCCACACTTGGCAGCCCGCTTTCACATATTTCCACATTCCACATTACCTCTCCCCTCCCTTTTTAACATTTTTCCCACGTTTCCCACCTTCACCCCCCTTTCATTTCGTTCAAGTGGCGACTTAAAGTCGCCCTAATTGAATTGCGCAATAATGTAGCAACTTTTCGGGCGCACTGAAATGTTGCTGTTTTAATTTGCCATTATTTTGAAGCACATTTTTCAATGCATAGCATTTGGGTAATGCTTTCGTCAACAATTTTAACCTATTTCGCATTAAAGCTTAAGTGTAACTTGCAGGTATTGCGTAGAGTTGACAAAATTACGGTTCTTCATCTTCATTGAATAATTTAGCTTGAATTTCTTAAGCAGGTGAACGGACTTAATGACTACAATTCTTCAAATTTATTTAATTTTAATTTAAGCACTTTCTGGTATTTCTTAACCAGCCAAAATTAATAGAAAATATCACAAAACGTTCTACAGTCTATGTGACATTGTGTGACATCAATGTCATGTCATGTTTATTTATTCTAAGCATCGCATGACAACTTTGTTTCTCGGAGATAAATCAAGTTCAATGGGGACAGCAGGAAATTTCAAGGACAATATATTGACTTTCATTGGCTACCATTTTAATTTAAAACATAATTTATGAGTGAGATGCGCAGATCAATCCTATGATCTATATTGAATTGTTTTAAGCAAAAACAATATGTTTTTGTAATTAAACTAGTCCTTTTTTCTACAATTAAACTTAAACTGAGGTCTAAGAACTAAGGGTTTTTAATTCAACACAATTCCAAAACAATAAACAACTGAAGACAAATAGTCTCAAATATTTAATTAAAAATACAAGTTATGACTTCAGATTTCCCAGTACAAAACAGGGCAAATTAAAACGCATTTAGAGGGACTTAAGAATTGAAGCAAGGCAATCGCTCAGACACTCAAAGGACTTTTAAGATTATCCCAGCCCAAAAGAAAAGGGGACACTCGGTCGTCAAGTCTCTGGCAGAGTTATTAATTAAATTAACAGACCCAAACGAGGCTCCGGCCAAGAACAAAAACTTTCGACGAAAAAGCCCTCGGATACCTTTAGATCCGGGGTAAATGAATTACGCTAAATTAGCAATTAAAATTCACAAAATGTTTGCGGCCCAAGACTCAAAAAAAATTCTTCATTTTCATATATATATATACATATATACATTTCAAACAATTCAATTTTGGTCAGCGGCAAAAACGGAAAATTATAATTAAAATCAATTTGCATAAACAGAAAAATAAGGAAAGTCCTGAGAATGAAATTTATTTGGGATTTGCTGCTGGCACTGCAAACTTTATTGTTATTCGGACAGGAAGCGGATGAACTGGGCTAAGAAAATGTGCAAAAAAACTTGAAAGACTTAGAGCCTAATAAATCACAAGCAACTTTTCTCATGTCCCCTTGTTTTTTGTTTTAAGCTTTAAAGGGTAAATAATTTATATTTAGGTGTAACACGAAAACTTTAGGGCAATCGGGGTCTTTTTTAAATGTCACGAGAAGGGTTCTTTAGAAACTTAAAGTCTCCTGAAAATTAAAAAAAAAGCATGCTGTGTTTTAAAAAGCCTGCAGATATGTCTTAAATTAAAGTTAGCCTCTTTCACCTACTACTTTTACAATGTAAAATATATTCCCCTGATCAACTTAAAGAATGCCTACACATATATAACATTGCCCAAACGAAATGAAAAGAAATTGTTGTTTTTAATGAAAGCACTAATTAAATGTGTCCTTTCTTCCAGGACTCTCTCTATCCACCCCTCCCCCCTTTCACTCTTCGCGGAATCAAGAACAAATGGATGAGGAAGCGCAGGAATGAAACGATGTGAAGCAAAAGGACAACGAGGACAACAAGGAGCAAAACAAGGGCCAAATTGGGAGGAGGCCACCAAGGAAAAGAAAACACACACATTTGAAGAATTTTAATCGAAAACTGCCAAGAAACAAATATATTTACAAATATATTTATATACTTAGTAAACCAAAACGTACATTTCTACATTAATATATATATATATATATATATATATATCTATAAATATATATATATATATAGAAAGAAATAAGTTATATTTACTATGAAATCGAGGGGCATGGAAGCGATACCCACAATAATAATCGATGTAAATAAATGCTGCCACTTCGATGACACTGCGAATTAAAACCGCAACTGAGATGCATAAAACGCACAACAGCAATAAGAGAAATCCACAACACATGAAGAAGAAGTTCACGTTTCCCGCGACAGCTGCGCCTGCGCCTTGAAAAATATCAAATAGGAGAAATTGGAGCCGCCAGAAGAGCATTATATATATATAAATATATATATATATATATATATGTATATATATATATAGGGCAGATCCAGCAACGCACCACCGCAGCACAGGCCAAAAAAGCGTGCAGAGGGAAATGAGATGAAGTGGTTTCAAGTGACCATAGATATGATTCTTGTGCTTTCATTTATATCAAGTAAGTGGCTCGTATTTATTAGCCTCGACCCAATCTTGTTTGGCCTACCCACTCTTGTAGAGCCCCAAACCCCAATCCTCAAACCCCAAACGCGAATCCCAGACCTAAACCTAAACCTAAGCCACCCCCTCCGCCATCCGAATCCCCTCGATTCGAGTGCCATTCAAACAAAGCCCGTCGACGGCAAGGACTCGCAACACAACACAACACAACACAACATAAAACAATCGCATGACATTCGCCCGACATCCTCTCAACACTCAAAACATTCTCCAAGTTCCGTCGGCTTTGGACCCCTCGAAACCCCCTAGAAACCCCCTCGAAAACGCCCCACCCCCCACAATTCTGCGTATCCGTGTGTCCATTGAGGCGGTCGAGTGCTTTGAGTTAGTTAGGCGGGCGTAACCGGGAGGACAGGACTAACTTGCACTCAGAAAATAGTTGGCGTAATTTAAACCTAAATCAAAACGACAGCTTTGTTAAGCCGATGTTTAAACAAACTAATTTCAAGGCGTAGTTAATCAACCACTATGCTAAGTTATTTTTAATTAACCAATTTTTTCAGTAATAATATATTTATTCTTAAGAACAAAACAAGAAAAACCTATTCTCAATAGACACCCTTTTTCCGGGTGTATTGGAGAAGTTGGAAGCCGGCGATTTCCAGAACCGGGGTTAGCTGTTATTGTCTGTGCCAGGCTTTATTGCCAAAGCTTAATTTGGATTTTGGCAATTGCCGCAGAAAGAACACAAAACAGACAGTGACGGCTATAGGAAAAAATTGAATAACAAATGAAACAAAAATAAAAATTACTTGATGGAAACGATTGGGAATTGGAATTAATGCCACCACATGAAATCTGTAGTCGAAAACATATTTTACCCTCTGTTTGAATTTAGCTTTTCTATTATTTAATATAAAAAGAATAGAAAACTGACTGTATTGCAATCAATACTATTATTACGTTTCTAGCAGAACCTAAAATGAAATAAATATAATCAACACAAGCTGTTATTTAATTCAACAATTTCTTCTGCAGAAGCTTATTCAATTTGATACTCTGACCTTTGAATACAATCATTCTTTTCTTATTGTGATATACGTATATACCTAAACTGTGCGTTTTCCACTATTTTTGCGAAGGTCGAATGGTGAATTTGGGGTGGCTGCTGTTGCCGAAAGGTGGCCAAAAGCGAGGGTTACCCCGGCATTTAGTTGGCATGAAATGGAAAGTGGCGAGAACGTTGGCTGACGGGATGAGTTGGCTAATGCAGCCGAAAAAGGACGAAGGACAATGGTCCGGCTGCCCCTTCGTTTTCAGCTCTGGCTGGCTTCGGTTTTTTTTGGTCTCAGTTTCAGATTCAGTTTCAGTTTTAGTTCTATTTGGCGTCCGCAAAATGAGGCCGCAGCTTTGTATCTGTATCTGTGCCCCCGTATCTGTATATGTATCTGAATCAGTGCCTGCGTATCAGTATGTGTGTCTGCGTGTCTGTGTGTGTGTATATGTGTGAGTGGGGCTGCATAGCCGAAACTGGCACAAGGCAGCCACGCCCACAATCAAAGCAGCTTCCCCCGCATCTTGGCCACCGACGCATTGATTGCGAACTGAGCCTGCCCTTTTCCCATAGTCTTCTTTTATTTTCTCCCCTATTTTTTTTTTTGTATTTTTTTCCCACCCACTCCTCTAGTGAGCTGGCCAACGCCTTTTGTGCGTGTTTTTCCGATTTGATTTTCCATTTTTTATGCGCATCGCGTCGCGACGCGTCACCAAGGCCAGCCAGGCAGCATTTAATGGTCCTCCCACCATCTATTCACTGTATTCACTTTCACTCCTTGCTTGAAAATCGACCTGGAGGCTTACAAAGAAATCGTTCGCTTTTGCCACACCAATTTGGTGGCATTTTCAAGCACCACTGATCCTTGACAGAAACATATGTGCTGGGCGACAACTATTTGTAAAATAAAATAAATTGAATTCACATTAATCACCATTCAAACGTACTCGTACTATTCGTAGTAATTTTGTGCTACGGCATATGTTTGATGATAAAAAAAGAAAACATTTGTATCAGGTTTATTTTATTTACATTTTATATAGATGAACAAAAGTAAATCTGTTTTAATAGAAACTTAAATAATTGGTGTTGTTATCATCGCTTTCAAAAGGCAATAATATGGTTTTTATTATTATTGATCCCAAGAACAGAACAACAGAACAAATTGAAATTGCAATTTTTATTAAAATAAAGCCATCAGTAGAATGTACTTAAAACAGTTTGTTAATACTAAGAAAAATTAGTTCGACAATAAGAAAACAATCATATATATTAATGTACAACAATAAAAAACTGACTAGTTAAATGCCATGACTAATGATGCGAATTTATTTTTGAAAATACATTTAAAAATAAAATCAGCTTGAAAGTTTGCAGCTTATCAAAATAAGTACCATATTTTTGTAGGACAATTAGGACTACTTACCATGTCGCAAACATTCTATGCACCAACAAGAATCAAACAAAAAGAAATAATAGATGGAAAAAAAGGAATAAAGTACAAAATAAGCACTGCGAGGGTAAACATAAATCTCGAAATTTGTTTTGGGGCGCTCACTCTCGTTCTTTCACTCCTATTCTTTCATTCATTCTTAAACAAGCATTGAATTTCTTTCGATTTAAAAAGCCATAAATTGCGCTCGAAATGCTTCCTGACTGTCTGCAGACTGGCCTTAGGGCCGTTCCCAAGGAGCCTCGGTGTGGGGATCGTTGGGAAGAGCCCGAGAAACCCCCGAAACCGCCGAAAAACCCTCGCAATACCCCCGAAAAACCTCCCAAAAATACCAGGCAAAACCGAATCAGAAAGCAGCGCCCAGAAGCGGGCAACACAATTTTTCATGTCATCATTTTTCGGGGGGCCAAGGCAGCGGGCAAACATAAATATAAATGGCAGTAAAGCACGCCCGAGCGAGACGGCATTATCTGGGTGCGAAAGAGAGGGAGATATATTGGAGAGTGCGAGAGACAGAGAGAGAGAGAGAGAGAGAGAGAGAGAGAGAGTAACAAACACACATATGCAATGGCTTCTGCAAATGGCTGCTAATGCAGCTGCATCGGCCGAAGACGTAGAAGCAGCCACGCTCCAGTTTCCGCTTTGTGGCCATTAAACGGGCCACACACACACACACTAACTCACACACACACACACACGCGCCCAGCACGCACACAGCTGCACGGACACGTACACCGAAAAATATATGTTAAAAAATAAGTAAATAGTCCAAAGGCACACGGAACTACTTTAGAATAAAACATTAGGGATTTTAAAGCACTTAACAAATGTCCCTTTTAAGTATGCTACAATATATTATATTTTAAATGGAAAATTCCGCTGGATAAATGACCAACGATAAAGTACAATTTACACCGCGTACCAATGTTTTCATAGGTAGCCCTAAGTGTTTTCTCTCAGTGCAGAAGGAGTCTAACCAAGAGAGTGCATCTAACGCCCTTCGTTTTTTTATTAGTATCAAACGACAGACGACGTCAAGGCAGCACATTTTCACTGCTCCCATTGCCCCTTCAATCCACCACTTATTCCACGACTACTTATTGCAATCGGTGGGTCAAAGGGCAAACTATAACTTTGCGGCACATATAACACACAAAATGTGTGTTGCCCTCCAACGGTATACTTCATTGGGTTGATAAATTCATTGCATGTTTTTATAAAGCATTTCGCAAACGATGTACAATAAATTGCACTTTGAGTTTGTTTGCGTCCATGAAGATTTTATTTACACGCTGTGGAATTCAAAGTAATGAGTTGAACATAAGGGGAAAAGTTATATACGAAAACTGTACGTTGAAAACCAAAATAGATTTTAGCTTTGATGGTCGGTAGTTTCTTTTGATTTTCTTTAATATTATTTTCCTTTTCTGTTACAAAAACAAATTTTTTTTAAATGACACAAATACAACCATAGCAAAAAATAAAGATTCAAAAAAAAATTAGTAATAATTAAAATTTAAAATTTTTGCTGCATTTTAACAAGTTGTTTATATCTAAAATTATTATATTATAAAAGAGAGTATTTAAATTTCGATATGGTCCGTCTGTTAGCAATATAGCTTCGTATAATTTTTCACTTCCAACCACTTTATCTGCTGGGATACTAATGTCCTCCAACGCCCATTATCCCCTTGCCCCCCTTCGAAACCCTCCCTCCCTCCCCACGGGTCCATCGCTAATGCAATTGCCACGCCCCTGCGGCTGCACTTACGTGGCGCTAATATAGAAAAGTGAAGTGCCACCGACAACGTTGACGATGGAAACGATGACGACAACTACAACTACAACAACAGCTACCAAAACAACTACAGCAACAACTATAACAACAACGATGGCTCTTGCAAAAATGGGGCGTTTCGACGCCCTACTCGAATCGCTATCCACTGAAAGAAAATAACTGATCTTCCGCTCTAAAATGCTTTAAATTTATTTGCAGATCTAATAGATTTTTAAATCATTTTAATCATGTTTACAGAATTCTTTTTATATAACCTTTTTTGTTATAGAATTAGGAATTAATTTAATTAACGAACAATATTATGATTAAGGCATAAAACACAAAACTTATATATATATACTGATATATATATAATAATTTTATTTTTACAGAAAACTTTTATTTACGTTGTCTTAAAATTTGAAATTGCCCAAATTTGTTTATAGTAACACGTTTGTGAGCTCTATATTTTTTATGGAAATCTGAGTATTTTTCTCTCAGTGCATATTAGTAAGTGAGTGAGCTGCAGAACGCCCACTTTTTGCTGCGGCAGTGCGGCAAATTCACTGCAGCAGCAACGGGAGAAGTGGCAGTTGTGGAAACAGGAGCGTTTGGCTTGTCGTCGTCACCATGGCCACGGCGTCCATCGTTTGTCCTTCGTTCGACGTCTGGGTTGCTGGGTTGCTGGGCTGCTAGGTTGCCTCAAGTGGAGCG